TTCTCAATCGCAATTACATAAGGTTCCTTTTCCATAACACTCTCAAGAAAGACAGTCATAAGTATGTTTTAACACAGACTTACGATAGTCATTACACTAAGATATTTTTTTGAAACCAGGTTTTTGATCCAGCTCCTCAAACAAATCGTAGTGCTACAAATGTCACGACTCCTATTTTCTTCAATATATTTACAACAGTCATAGTGCTAAGATCTTATCATCAAACAGGTCCTGGGCCCATTTCCACATAGCAGTCTTAGCGCTAAGATGATTGCAACTCCCATACTTTGCATAGTCTTACTATAATCGTATCACTATGACCTCTTCATGGAACAGGGACTCAGATCCAGTTTTACAAAGTTATGTTAGTGTTAAACATGCACCCCTTAACTTCACCATAAACAGCCCTTAAATGTATTTCTGGAAGTTATAATCAAATCACTATGATCTCTCTATTGAACAAGGTCTTGGATCCAGTTTCCCCAAAGTTTTGGTTAAGTGTTAAACATGCAACACTCCCCACCATAAACAACCCTTAAATATATTCCTGAAAGAGGATTAAAACCATTTTAAGTAGAAACAAGAATCAGCATAAATCACACTTGATGATTAGCAGCTAGTGTTATATAATATGCCTGTAACAGTAAATACCACATCAATATAAGTAAATTGACACTCCATATACAGATAAACAAGCTGGCTACTGACTCTCAGTATAAATCACTGTCTTGTCCATACCATAGAGGAAACTGTTCTAATCCACATATACTATAGTAACACTTGCTGGTACAGTATTTATATGAATGATTGTCATAAGTAGAACATATCCATTGAGAAATTATGATTCTGTGTTATCCGAAAATTCATAATGATAAACAGGAAAATCAAAACATCAGTTTCCTACGATGAAATTAGCTTTCTTATACCAGTTTTATGAAAAAATGGTTGGTATCCTATTTCGCGTAGTAGTTTTGAAATAAACTGCTCATTTTCAGCAGTCATATAATATGATTTCAGTGCTTTATATTCCTTCCATTGTAGGTGAAATTTGACATGACCTACATTTACTGATCCGAAGGCATTTTATTTTCACATTATCTAAAGATCGTATTACATTTGCTAAGAAACAGTGACTACAAATTGAAAACCATAAATCATAATATCTCGCTGAAATAGCCATAGAGCAAGTATGCATCCTTGTTGCACACCTGCATCTCAAACACAGTCAAACATGGTAATCTGAGGATACTGCACATTTCACTCTCACAATAAGAAAGCCAGCACATTGCTGTTCAAATTGCAGCGACAAGATTGTTTGTCTCCCACTTCAAAAAATCTGGTGGGACTCTGGGATTACTCAGAGGGAAGACAAGAGCTACAACTGTCATAAAGTAACATAGAATTATGAAAGTCGTACCACTATGACAGCTTTCCATAACCAGGTCTTTAGACAGATATGATAGTTGTAGCTTGTGGTAAGGTGGTCTGTCATTATTCTACAGTAAATACCTACCAACCAGCATCGTTCAATCAATGCATGCAAAACACTTTCAGCTGGTTTTAAAATTAATGTATTCAGGACAGAGTTGGCACTGGGACATGATTGCAAAGAAGTTTTTTGGTTGACATTTGAAGGACTACATTGTGACATTATAATACTGCATTTTGTGTTAACAATGTGCTGTATGAGAAATGTGCAATATTCTCCATCTGCCCTGTGCTATTGAACCACTGAGTTAACCTTACAAAATAGCCTGTACATCTGCTGCCTGGGGAGCTGTTTGGAGTAGAATGCTAGGCAAAGGACCATCATAGTTGTCTCCCTTTGGTGTAGCTCTTTAGGTTTTACGATCAAGTTCTAAGGTAGCTAATTTTGTTATAGATAACAAAATGTCGCTCCCTTTCACTTATTTGTAAAGTAAATTTTTATCGTAGAGAAAAAGCACTCAAATATATGTATTTCTTGTTGAATTTGTTGCGACAAAAATAATGTTTCCTTAAATCATGTTAATCACAAGTCATTATCAACTTCAAATTATGTTAGTAAGCTGATCAGTTTTATAAATATGTTCTTTCTTTCTTGTTACACCTTTTTTCAGTTTAATTCCCCAACCTTTGCTTTTGACCATGATGGCTTTGCTCTTATCACGTCTCCGTAATGCCCAACTCAAAATATCACACACTTTCCACCAGACGGGGACAACAAAAGATGGCATACATAAGGCTAGGAATGACCTTGTCATAGTACACTATTTACAATCATACCATTCTCAAAATATCATGCACCTCATTCTTTATACAACACTGCTCAAAACATATCTGTTAGATATTAATCCAGCTTTCCCCTAAAATTATTAACTGAAAGTTTCATGAAAGCAAAAAATAAATATTATATAAGTGCTAAACTTAATACAAGAAATTAGAATGATTAGTGCAAAAAACTGTCATCTGAGTAGGAATTTCAGATTTTTAGGTAAAAGAATATATATCACACCAAAATGTGTTTTCGCTTATTATGTAAAATCAAACTTTTGAAAGCTACAAGATAATCAAATATGCTAGTCCACATCAACGCATACTACTGACTGACTGAGTTTAGTACTAAATATTCACACATCTGATTAATATTCTTTCAAGTATTTTGCAACGAAACTTGTGTAAGCAACAACTTGTAATTTTGTAGTTTTTAATGAAAATTCAAGAAATCAAATTCAAACAGTTTGCCTATCAACCACTTGTATCAGATTCTGACAACTATAGTACAACTTGAGAACTGCTCCCCATCATTCATGCTGTTAAATTAAAACATCATTGTATTTTTTCCAAATAAGGCTGCAAAAGGAGTGTCCCTACTTCAAAACAGTTTACGAAACTGAAAAGATAAACCTGCTTTCGTGACAAGTGGGAGAAAAGAGTGCAAAACGTAAGATGATACTGAATAAAGGGATGATATTGAATATATCCACCTGTGGCCAAGGCAACTCTTTGATGCAACTTAGTGCACAATGAAACTTGAATTTCTACCAAGGTAACTATGTAATAGTCTACAACACACACAAATAAGTCCATTAAAAATACACATTCAGCAATGAGGTCACCAAATCCAAATCCCAAACAAATTCTTATACACACTGCCATTTCTGAGTCACAACCTGGGAATATGTCTGAGAACATCAAATCTTGGGAAATGTTCTAGAAAACCATACCTAGACATCAAAGGTTCTTACTTCTTAAATGTTCACCTGGAGGCACTACAAATACTGGTTAGTTTGTTGTAGAACTACAGATGATGATTAGAGTTACCTGCCCTTGTTAGAATCAGCCAAACATATTTGCCTGCAGTCTGTGCCCCTAAAATGAGAGTCTTTTTAACTTGAATTTGTTACTAAACAGAAGACCTTTGGACTGTTAAAAGTACTTTTGACTTGATTTTTAACATAAGAATATCTTAGTAGCAGCTAGAAGCACAGATTATTTTCTGTGTAGAAAAGAATCCTTGCCAATACCATAAAATAACTGAAAGATGAACAAAACAAGTTGTTATTGTTTTTCTGATGAAGAGAAAAAGAGTACAATATTAATGATGTCCTTGATTGTTGTTCATGAACATTTCCTGAAGACTTTTCTCTCTATTCCGATGATTAAGATGTAATATTCCTCTATAAGTATTTCATAATCATGACTATATACATAACTACAAACAAAATCCAAGTCTTTCAGCAATTTCCAAAACATTCACTAATTTCCTCATCACTAGGTCAATATCAGTAATGACCTTTGAAATTCAGTTTATGACCCAGCTGCAGACCGAAAACCTTGCTTTTTTATCATAGTAAGCAGAAAAAATTACATCAGTAGTAAATTATCTTGAATTGAAAAAAGCATGAAGTAATATGCCAGTGAAATATCTGCATCAAATGGTGTAGTTGACAGTGGATGGAAACATCTGGTGCTCTTGTGCGTATTGTTGTAGTTAAGAAAATTGATCATGGCATTTATCATAATCCATATTCATCATATTCATCCAATATTCCCCATTCATTTCCCATACCATAAAAATATAGCACTATTATTACGTATATAATACAGCAATATGGCACTTTGATTCAAGACTAAATATTTGACTAATATTCCAATTAAAAAACAACAAATGTGGCTGAAAACAAATCATATGACAGAGACCTGAATATAATGAGAAAAGTATCACAATGCCACAGATAGTCTACACATAATTTTTCAGTTTAACTTATTTGTAATAATGATTCAATAACATAAATAGTGTTAATATTAAACTAACAAAAATCTTGAAACTGCAAGTCATTGGCCAAAATAAAGCCCCACTTTTAAATACTTTTTCAAACCAATTTTTCTAAATTTGAAGTGAAAAAAACCCCAATATTTTAACCGAATAAATCAATGGTTATTTTTGTCGAAATCACCTTCTTTTCTTATGACTAAAATTTGGCAATGTCGGATTTAATCAGAGAGACTAACAAAGACAATTTTCTATTAACCTATTCACCATTTAGCAATAGATTTGCAAACTAAGTTTACAAATAATTGTCTGGATTCACATTTCACCTACACATGCTATGCAGAGCTCCAGATAAGAATTAGCTCATGTGGGTACTGTACCCACTGTATTTTTTTGGAGTGGGTAATATGAATGTTGAGTGGGTATTTCATTTTCCGTTACCCACTGCTTTCAAATATGTGCGTATTTCAGTCATTTTACTCACCTTAGTATTATGTAATTGAGTAAGTTTACTAAGCAGGTATGTTCTGCCTCATATCATACCTAATCAAAACCAACTTAAATATAATGGAAATGATTTCATAAAAAATCACTCATCCTTTACTGACAGTACAACACTAGTCCTATACTAACAGTACAACTTAATAGCAATCGATGTCTTTTTCATTACGCGAGCGATTTTTATAAATATATTCCGTATGCATTTGTTTTAAACTTTTTGCGTATCTAACATTTTAAATGCATAATTGGTATGCAACAATTATTTTTCAATGCGTAATTGGAAATTTTCTAAGCGTATTTTACCCGGATACGCAGCGTATCTGGGCCTCTGGCTATGTAAAACTAATATCACTGTGATCCAGGGAAGGTGAGTAGTTTGTAAAGATGACATCGTCTATTTTAGAATAATTGTCCATGCATTATCACTTAGACTATGTCAAAATGGCGTCTAGCCAACATGATGAAACCTGATGTTCAGTTGGTACAAAACTTGATCTTCTCTCCTTATAAAAAGGGGCTCCTCTCAAAGGATGATGTATAAACAGATTGTCATGACAAATTGTTCATTGTAAATTAAATGTAATCCCACATGTATCAATGTATAAGAAGTAATTGGTGAATTACCAATAAAAAGACTATCAGAAATATATCACACAGGTGGAACTGGAAAAAACACTGAGATTCACTGAGATCTGACCTAGTTCAAACATGAAATATCACTAATATTTCAATCAGAGAATATGGCTCATATAATGAATTAAATCTAGATGTGCATCATTTCTGTTTTTGAAACAATTACTCCCCAAAATGTCTGTTTTGTCACCAGATTTGATATTTGATGAAAATTATCTTTCTTGAAATTTTTTTAAATGATCATTATTTTCTTTGACAAATGTCTGGCAGAGGAACTTGGTTGTATATGAACTTGGTGGAGAACAGGTAAACTGGCACATAGGACTCTTCACTTGAAGTCAGGCTTGGGAGGAAAGGTGCACCCATAATGCTGAATGACAACTTTGGCTGCGTAGGACCCGCATCGGACACACTCATCAACAGATTTACCCTGGACAAGTTGAGACAAGAAGCCCCCAACAAACGAATCTCCACATCCATTTGTGTCCTTGATGACACTTGGATCTACTGGCTCGACTGGATACACCAAGACCTTCCCATCGTGAGCAAGATAGGTTGGGTCCCTTCCTTGAGTGTAGACCACTGTGCGACGTCGTGACATATTGATCTTTGGCAGAGCTGCAGTCCTGGATGCTATTTCTTCAACGTTTGATGTCTCAAATCCTGCATGTTTGGAGAATTCAGCAGCTTCATCACCATTTCCAAAGAGGACATCCACATATGGCATAACATCCAGGCTGGCATCAGTGAAATATTTGCACAGAAATGTGGCATGTAGATTCATGATGACGGTTTTCTTCTTGTCGGCAGCATGCTTCAGAACCTTCAGAATAGAAGCTGGACTCACTGGTAACAGGAATCCACCTATGTAGAAAAACTGAGCCTTTTCAACAAATTTCCAATTTTCAGGTTGTTCTAAATAATCAAGCGAAAACATTTCTGCTGCCCCAAGCTCTGTGACTAAAGACCGATTTTCTCCAGTGATGATGGCTCCACACACACCTGTCTTTTTCCCGGGTGGACTTGGTAACAGACATGGACTCCCACCTCCCTCGCTTTCTCCTCCTGGACCTTGCAGAACTGATCGGCACCAACCCCTCCGAAAAATGTGGTTGCGTCTGGTTTCTCCAACAGCCATTGAGCAACCCGGATGCTGTTCTGTGTAGCCCCTCCTGCTAAGTAGCTCGGGTTGTACTTTTCAGTCATCTCAACGAACATGTTGTGGTGCTTGTCCTCGGCAATGATGGCGTTGTTTGGAAGGAGGTCGTACTTGTCGAGGAATGCCTTGTCTCCCTGGATGGAGATGTCCAGAAGAGGGTTTCCAAGTCCAAGCAGCATACCCTCGTATATCCCACAGGAAGCAGACGTACTGAAGGCCATCTGAAACAGCAGGAAGCTCTCAATGAACACTCATCTGAAGTAAACCATCCTATCACATACATGTATATTGATATGGCTTAAAATGAATAAACCAGCAAATTCCTGCATCTGAAACACCATTAACAAAGCTGAATATATTACCCAAAAGTAAAGTGAAGTTAGGTTCACATTTCAAACATATTTCTTCCTTTTCTCTTAGAAAGGCATTGAGTATTACACAATAACCTAATTTAAACTCAAAATTATGAATTATCTGTCCCTTGTGAATGAATGCTGCAAGTCCCTCTCAAATTGCATGGGATGACCACAAATTCATTTTCTTTGGAAAGATAATCCACAATTCCTCATATCCTATTGCAGGGATTTACATGGAATCCAGTATTTATGGGTCCCTGGAACAGTTTAGTTTTATACTATTCCAATTTGGGGAGGGTTCATTGGACAATTAAAATGAGGGGCCCAAACACTTTAATATTATTATTAATACTGTTATTGTATTGAGTATCATGATCATCACATTGTTACAGTAATTAAATTGCAAATAATATCGTAACCCAGCTAGTAGCAAACTCAGTGATAACGTATTGTCACTTGATTGGAATTTTTACAAAAAGTATTTAGACTTTTTCTGAGTCCCTGTGGATGCACTAATATATTTTGTTGCATCCATTGTCAATTTTTATGAGTATAGGATGCAGGAATTCGCGTCCTGTAAATCTCTGCCTATTGGTTGTTTTTTTCTAAATATAACTGAAGATTTAGAACAGAACTTGTCAAACAGGAATTCTTGTCACCAGTGTTGTCTGATATCAGCACAAATTACTCAAGGCTGACTTTGGACTCTCAACGGCTTTGAGTTGACAAAGTATCACTCTATCAAAGTCACAATATGAATGTATAGGTGATCTACTGCGGAGATATCATATTTTAAGTACCTCACTCAGATTCTTTACATTTGTATAAAGGTCTAGTTGATAGAGTGTCTGCCTGGAGAGCAGAAAGTAACATGGATGATGGTCGTTCAAAGCCCAGCCATATCCTACCGGAAGATGGTACCGGTACTTGATTTTATCCTGCCTGACTCTCAGCATTAAGGACCAAAAAGGACTGGTCAGCTCAGACTCTGTGGTTAGCATCTCACAAACACAACATGGTATATGCCATGTTTCCCCACCTCAGTATCAGCTCTTGATGACAGATACACAATGACAAACAAGTGAGTCTGATTTAGTGCTGCTTCAAGCAGTATTCGTTATGATTTTGCTTGATGTGTGTGCAAATGCCAAAGTGATGCATGTTTCAGACAGATAACAATTTGGTGAAACCCACAAGCATATGTATGGCCGTAGAAACGTAACTGACAATCCCAGATTCAAAGGATTCTGGTTTCTGCCGTTACCCAGGATTGCAACTGTGCACTGCAGTTATGGCTTAGATGACAAATGAAAAATATGATTAACACCATACATTATAAAGATTTGATAAGTCCACAGAAATGTCAATAATTGACAAAATTTCAGTCTAAGGCGAAAACCATTACTATGAAACAAAAGGTGTTTGAAATGTGTGGCAAGATACGTGCGAGGTTGAAGAAGGTCACTGTAACCCAGTAAAGGGCACATGCAAAGTGAGCCAGTGTCCTTATCTGGATGCTTATCACTTTATCATGTGACCTCATGTGGTCATACGACCCGCTAACCTAAATCTCAACACCTAGGTCAACATGTCCACCTGTATTATGCTACCCAGAGTAGATCATCTTAGCCTCTGGAGGCAGATATATTTTTTAACCCATTCAAGGCAATCTGATCCTGTTAATTCAGTTTAAAGGTGAAATGGTCTGTATGTTTATATCATTTAGATTACCAAAACATGTTGAATGATGTCCATGTTTTCAAAACTTCAGAGTGTTATTTGGCTGAACATCCAAGCTAGGCAGCTTCATTATTAAATCTCAGGGTCAAACCTTATGACGCTCAATAGCTATAATTATAGGATCATTAGGACTTACTTTTCTTATGGTTTTATGGATTATTAACTTTGTATTGTATTCTATTTGCCCTGAGTGAGTGAGTGAGTGAGTTTAGTTTTACGTCGCACTAAGCAATATTCCAGCTATATGGCGGTGGTCTGTAAATAATCGAGTCTGGACCAGACAATCCAGTGATCAACAGCATGAGCATCGATCTGAGCAATTGAGAACTGATGACATGTGTCAACCAAGTCAGCAAGCCTGACCACCCGATCCCGTTAGTCGCCTCTTACGACAAGCATAGTCGCCTTTTATGGCAAGCACATGGGTTGCTGAAGACCTATTCTACCTCAGATCTTCACGGGTCCTATTTGCCCTGAGATGAGGTGAGGTGAAATTGGTTTTTACGTCGTGCTTGAGAATATTTCGCTCATATGACGACGTGCATGCATGTGTATGTGTATGTGCGGGTGCTTGTACTAGCCCAGACTGAAGCTGGTTTTATAGTGCTAGCCCACTGAGATACCATGCCGCAGTGAAGCATGAATACCCCACTCAGACACATTCTACTGACTCCGAGCCGACCAGTCCTTGTTGTACCCATTAATGCCGAACGCCAGGCAGGGACCAACAAGTACCATATTTTAACGTCTTTTTGGTATGACGCGGTCGGGGATCAACAAGTACCATATTTTAACGTCTTTTTGGTATGACGCAGTCGGGGATTGAACCTGTAACCTTCCGCTCTCCGGGCGGACGCTCTAACCACTACACCACGGAGGCGGTCTATTTGCCCTGAAATTGTTTGTGTTAGCCTGTTTAGTGGGAAAGTTAAGTGCTTACATTGTTATACATGCAGAATGTGACATGGTTTTACATTACATGTTCTTACATGTCTCAGAAGGCTGTGCTTCCACTGCCCTAGTCTGTCTCATAGTCCCTGAACCACATTATCTTCCTAACTGCCTAGCCCTTCCTGCAATGTTAAAGCCCTAAATGTTAAATTTTGTTGTTGTTGTTACGATCAAAATTATATATATTCAGACACTAAGCGTAAGTCTACCACTGCCTGTGAAACCTTCAACATGACATCTTAACAGTAAACATCTACCTCCAAGCTAGTACTCATTAGAAACCTGACACTCTAACAACTTCACAACCATTCCTTCTCTGCTGAAAACCAAGCCTGAGTGCTGATACAGCAGCAGTGATAACAGCACAGTGAAGATGCTCACAGTGGAGGAATACTGTTACAACAACCAGCTACCACGGCAACCAAAGGAAACCTGATGTACCACACTAACCGGCATACACAGTTACAAATATCACTATCATATAACAAGAGATCCTGACCATTCTGGACTTTACCTTTGTACAAGAGCAGTCTACTTGCTCTCTGATCAAGATCTGCTACCACTACGAACAGCAAGCACCTGCTGAAGTTCTAGTTGGGTTTTTAAGCCACTTTGAGTAATATTCCAGCAATATCACAATGGTGGACACCAGAAATGGGCTTCACACATTGTACCCATGTAGGGGATCCAACCCGGGTCGACATGACAAGCAAATGCTTTAACCACTAGGCTACTTCACTGCCACTAAAATAACTATGGACGGCACAGGCATGGTCTTCAGTTTGCAGTATTAAGAAAAGAAAAACTTACTGGAATACAAACAACTTACATTCTTATAAAGTTAGGTTAGGGTTCAGGTGACGTATGATAAATGCACCAGGATGTTTTTTATGGCATAAAATATTCAACTATTTCAATGCAACATATTGGTATACAGGCTTGTACTTTTATCAAGCAAATTCTCTTACATCATAAAGTTTACTATTCTTTCAAAGTATTGGTTTTGTGCAGTCCTGGCATGTTTATCAATTAAGTTCAGAGTTGTGGGGTGTGAGTGAGTGAGTCCAGTCACAGTCCAGTGGCACTGTTTTGATAGGAACTGCAACTTGCATACCATTACGGTGGGGCACCTAAACTATTGGTTATGGATATTTGGTGAGTCAGTGAGTGAGTGAGTGCCTGAGTGAGTGAGTGAGTGAGTGAGTGAGTGAGTGAGTGAGTGAGTGAGTGAGTGAGTGAGTGAGTGAGTCCATCCATGTGTCTATTCATCCATTCTTGAAATTTTCAAACAATGTTTGTCCACCTATCTGTCTGTCAAACACCCATAGAACCAGTTGCACATCTCTGGCAACAATCATTTGTGAAAGTGAATGACAGCCATTACGTTTTCAATTAATATCTAACCAAACTAACTAAAGCGTTGGATGGGATGATATCTCGTGTAACAGACCTATTGAAATCAGACAATCATTCACATTAGGAGAATTACCGTGTACATAAAAAACACCCATAGAATCACCTAATCTGCAGACACAAAGCCCTCCATTTCAAAGTAATTTTTTTGTGTCTGACTAACATAACCCTTTGTGTTACTGAGCTTATGATAATATGTTTAGACCTGTTGATGGCAAGTGGCCAAGAGGACCAGTCAGCAGTCATATCGGCTTCTCTGTACACATGCTAAACACATCAGTGCTAAGTAAGTCAGCAGGTTGTTATGTGGTTTTGGGGGCGGTGGGGAAGCCTAGTTGTTAAAGCGTTCGCTTGTCACACTGAAGACCCGGGTTCGATTCCCCACATGGGTACCCCGCTGTGATATTGCAGGCATAATGCTAAAAGTGGCGTAAAACTAAACTCACTCACTCATGTGGGTTTGCTATGAACACTGTTATCAAACGAAGATAGAAGGCAGGTAATTGATAGAAGGCAGTTAATTGATAGAAGCCAGGTAACTCAGAAGATTTGGGTGGTGTTGTACAAAACAACCTTTGTGCTACAACTGTCGTAAGACTTGGTTACCTGAGTGATGATCACCTCAGCACTAAGCTTGCCTTGTACAACGGCACCCAGCACATAAAAGTAGTAAATGTACTCTACCTTGGTCAATCACAAGTTGTCAGGGTTGTACAATCTGTCAAATGTTCTGCGACAAGACCTCTGTTTATCCTTACCCA